TATTGTTATTGTTATTGTTATTGTTATTGTTATTGTTATTGTTATTGTTATTGTTATTGTTATTGTTATTGTTATTGTTATTGTTATTGTTATTGTTATTGTTATTGTTATTGTTATTGTTATTGTTATTGTTATTGTTATTGTTATTGTTATTGTTATTGTTATTGTTATTGTTATTGTTATTGTTATTGTTATTGTTATTGTTATTGTTATTGTTATTGTTATTGTTATTGTTATTGTTATTGTTATTGGTTATTGTTATTGTTATTGTTATTGTTATTGTTATTGTTATTGTTATTGTTATTGTTATTGTTATTGTTATTGTTATTGTTATTGTTATTGTTATTGTTATTGTTATTGTTATTGTTATTGTTATTGTTATTGTTATTGTTATTGTTATTGTTATTGTTATTGTTATTGTTATTGTTATTGTTATTGTTATTGTTATTGTTATTGTTATTGTTATTGTTATTGTTATTGTATTGTTATTGTTATTGTTATTGTTATTGTTATTGTATTGTTATTGTTATTGTATTGTTATTGTTATTGTTATTGTTATTGTTATTGTTATTGTTATTGTTATTGTTATTGTTATTGTTATTGTTATTGTTATTGTTATTGTTATTGTTATTGTTATTGTTATTGTTATTGTTATTGTTATTGTTATTGTTATTGTTATTGTTATTGTTATTGTTATTGTTATTGTTATTGTTATTGTTATTGTTATTGTTATTGTTATTGTTATTGTTATTGTTATTGTTATTGTTATTGTTATTGTTATTGTTATTGTTATTGTTATTGTTATTGTTATTGTTATTGTTATTGTTATTGTTATTGTTATTGTTATTGTTATTGTTATTGTTATTGTTATTGTTTTTGTTATTGGTATTGTTATTGTTATTGTTATTGTTATTGTTATGTATTGTTATTTGTTATTGTTATTGTTATTGTTATTGTTATTGTTATTGTTATTGTTATTGTTATTGTTATTGTTATTGTTATTGTTATTGTTATTGTTATTGTTATTGTTATTGTTATTGTTATTGTTATTGTTATTGTTATTGTTATTGTTATTGTTATTGTTATTGTTATTGTTATTGTTATTGTTATTGTTATTGTTATTGTTATTGTTATTGTTATTGTTATTGTTATTGTTATTGTTATTGTTATTGTTATTGTTATTGTTATTGTTATTGTTATTGTTATTGTTATTGTTATTGTTATTGTTATTGTTATTGTTATTGTTATTGTTATTGTTATTGTTATTGTTATTGTTATTGTTATTGTTATTGTTATTGTTATTGTTATTGTTATTGTTATTGTTATTGTTATTGTTATTGTTATTGTTATGTTATTGTTATTGTTATTGTTATTGTTATTGTTATTGTTATTGTTATTGTTATTGTTATTGTTATTGTTATTGTTATTGTTATTGTTATTGTTATTGTTATTGTTATTGTTATGTTATGTTATTGTTATTGTTATTGTTATTGTTATTGTTTTTGTTATTGTTATTGTTATTGTTATTGTTTATTGTTATTGTTATTGTTATTGTTATTGTTATTGTTATTGTTATTGTTATTGTTATTGTTATTGTTATTGTTTTGTTATTGTTATTGTTATTGTTATTGTTATTGTTATTGTTATTGTTATTGTTATTGTTATTGTTATTGTTATTGTTATTGTTATTGTTATTGTTATTGTTATTGTTATTGTTATTGTTATTGTTATTGGTTTATTGTTATTGTTTTTGTTATTGTTATTGTTATTGTTATTGTTATTGTTATTGTTATTGTTATTGTTATTGTTATTGTTATTGTTATTGTTATTGTTATTGTTATTGTTATTGTTATTGTTATTGTTATTGTTATTGTTATTATTATTATTATTATTATTATTATTATTATTATTATTACTCCATATTATTATAATCATCATCATCATCATCATCATCATCATTATTATTACTACTACTCCATATTATTATAATTATTATTGTTATTATTATTATTATTATTATTATTATTATTATTATTATTATTGTTATTATTATTATTATTATTTATTTTTAGTATTATACAGAGTATTTATAATTATAGTTACAATTATAATTATAGAACTAATTATAATTAAAAATATAATTACAATTATAATTATAGTTATAATTATAATCAGTGTAGTAGGTATAATTTTTCATAAATTTATTTATAATTATAATTATGATTATATTTATAATTAAATATTTTTAGAATTATGACTATAATTATAAATTATATTTGAATTATATTTATAATTACAATTATAATTATAATAATTATAATTATAATTAAAGAAATATTCAGATCAGATCAGAAAGATTCAGATCAGATTAGAAGGATTTAGATCAGACCAGATCAGAAAGATTCAGATCAGAAAGATTCAGATCAGATCAGATCAGAAAGATTCAGATCAGATCAGAAAGATTCAGATGAGATCAGAAAAATTCAGATCAGATCAGAACTTAATATATTCAGATCAGAAACATTCAGATAAGACGAAGAGAACAACTTCTAACTCTTAAAAGGAGATAGATCTAGAATTCTTTTTCTGTTTTTATGACTTTTTATAAATATATACTTTCTGTAATTTTTTATTTGTTACATTTTCCTTTGTGATAAACTTTTTATTTAAAAATACTCCTTTCGTCCTGTAAATTTTCTCTCAGTTTGACTTGGAATGAAGTATAAAAAAACGTGAATAAAGTAAAATTGTATGATCATGATTGAGTAAGAAAAATGTAAACGAATGGTAGCCACACCTAACTTTCCAAAAAAGCAAATGGGATTTTTTTGGAACATTCGAAAAAGGTAAGCGGGAAGGATTTTACGGTACGAATGAGGTACTTAATTATTATTACTTTTTCTACTTTTCATATTCTATTTCATGTTTGTCCACTCTCTCCTATTTACTATTCTTGATATTTTTTTCTCAAATATTGTGTCAACTCATGTGATATTTGTTATAATAAAAATATCATAAAATTTGATGATACTTTTCATTAGTATATAAAACAAATGTCTCGATCAGCTAGGGTACATACAAAAATACTGATCGTCGGCACCCCCCACATACATGGAAATGTATGAGGGCCAGATTTTTTTTAATTCCAGGGGGATCTGGGGGAGGGGGGCTGGAGGAAGCCTAGAGTAATCTACTATGAAACTCACTCCATTGAGTTTCACACCCTTATGTGCCTAGCGGGATTCGAACTCGAGACCTCTTGGCACGGTAACCTCACAACCAGCTGGGCTGGAATGCTTAATTATGTATGAGGGCCAGATATAGAAAATAATTAAGCAACTAAAGCCGTGAATTCTCCCATAAAAAATCATTTTATGTCGAGCTCCAATTCAAATCAATTGCTTCGTAACAATATTTTTGATAAATGATTTTTCGTAAATATTTTTCAAGTACCAGTGTACCACTATTGTTCTTCATTGTAATCTCATACTTCCTCAATTTATCACTATAAAGTTATACTTTTGATTGATACTTGTTGGGTTTATAAGTTAGGATTTCTGTTATACGAAAGTGCATAACAGTACATCATAAAATGTGCACAAATTTTGAAAAAATTAGCAATCTTTTTTAAGTCTTATGAGTGCACTTTTATTCATCTAATATCCACTTTGTACTATAAACGTTTGCACATTATTTGAGTCTGTATCTTGTGATTAAAGTTTATCTAATCCATCCATTTACAAGTGATTAAAGGCTAAGATTTGTTCTCACTTTCCATAGGAAGACTACTTTTTACTTGAACCCTTCCCTATATATAGGGAGAGAGAGAGATGGCGGATCAGGTGAGAAGTGCTTCTAGGCTATAACAAATAAAAAATTACAGAGTATATATTCATGAAAAGTCATAAAAATAGAAAAAGAATTTTATATCTATCTCCTTCTAAGAGTTCCAAGATTTAAATATGAGACGTAAAAGAAGAAAAAGAATGGAAGAGAAATCTATAAATCCTACTGGAAGACAAAAAAAATTAAAAAGAAAGAAAAGAAAACGAAAATAAAGTCAAAAGGAAGAAAGAGAGAAAGATGGTAGGACTCCTTTGATTCGCATGTAATGTATAATACGAAGTGTAATGTATGAAGTACGCATAAGATTGAAAGAAAAGTAAATGAAAAAAAAAGTAAATAAAAATGAAAGGAACGTCAAATCTGACTTGCAATAAAAAGTTGCATCCGGTCATTTTGATTCATGTGATCTTTTTCTAATAGTAAATGTATGTATGTGATGTTTTTTTTAGTAGAGGGGTTGAGATGATATTTTTGGTATAGTAGGAGGGTGTATTTGACCCTTTTTCCAATTATTAAGTACAAAATTGGAATAAATATCATTGGTTTTCAGACAATCATGACAGATCTACAGGTCCAATGGTATCAAGCTGCGGCGTGACATAACTGGAAATCGATGACTTGTTTCTTTATTATTTTCTTACGTTGGTTTGATTTTGGTAGAGTTGTAAGTTTCAGTTTTGAAACATGAAGATTTATATGGTGATGTTAAGCTTCAGTTTGTCCATTACATGGTTAGCGACTTTTGCGGCTCGTTTGTGGGTGGCAGAGTGATAGTCTGATAATTGAGTTTATGCCTGAGGTGGTTATGATCTTGAGTGTATTGCAATGTTCCTTGATTCATTAATTTTAACATAGATTATTTCCATTAAAAAAATACCCTCAGTTTAGTAAAATGCGAAAAAAATAAAAAATTTGTGATTGAGATTTAAATAGAAAATATGTGAATACTTTAATGACATATTTATTATTTTAAATAGACAATGTTTTAGAAACGGTCAAAAAAAAGAAATGAAGAATGATAAAAAAAAGTTTAGGAATGAAGAATGAGTATGTCTAAAAGAAAAAAGTGTTATTAATGGAAAGAAGGAGGATAATAATGGAAAGGAGTATAATTAAAATTTGAAAATAAGGTCACAAAAACTCAAAATACTGTTTTTTGGGGAAACTCAAATCACTTGAGCGCAGTCTATGTAACCTTTCTTTCCCCGGATCAGTTATCTTGTTCTCCAGGACGGTTTAAAAACTTGCACTAAGTTGGCAGATGATCGAATCTATATTAGACCTTCATTTTTTATTACGGTTTTATGTGTAGACAATTACACACATATATAGGTGCATTACCCGCCTGAATTTTGTACCCTAGGTTGAATTACAGAGCGAGCGGGAGCTGGGGTCAATTGAAAATGTCCAGGAAAGTTGCTACTAGGAGAGAACTGTTGGATCGATGGAGAGGCATCGAAGAGGAAGAAGACGACGGCGACGGCGACTTTAATGACCTTAAGCGCCGTCGCCTTCACAAGCTAAAAGAAGAGTGGTCTGTTGCCTACTTCCACCCATTAAAACAATTCTTGAATTCAACATTCTGCTATATGTGTATGTATGTGTGAATAGACCGTATTAAAGCAATCTGTATTCACTGTAAAATCAGTAGGAGATAAACAGAGGCAAAGATAAATTTAGTGCTCAATGGCAGTAATATGGTATTGATAATCGAACTTACAGCACTGAGGTATTAACATTGACTTCTGATCATGTGGCAGTGGAATGTTGCTGAGACTGTCAACATATGATTGCTTAATTGCGTGTTAACATTTTGAAATTTCGGAAATGGAGCTCATGTGACAGGGTCTTCTGGATACAAAGAAAAAATAAAGCCGGAATATCCTCATTGCTTATTGAACTTGATTAGTTGATATGAACATCATAACATATGACATCATGATATTATTGACTTGTAAGTAGATGAAATGGATGACAAGTGATGGTAGGGAGAATGCGAGTTGTTTTCAACTTGTTCATGGATTTGATGCCAGTGAACTTACTTTAGTGTGCGAGCAGATCTTTAACTACTTTTCCTTTTTATTTTAGCTTGAGCCATATTTGATGCTTGACATGTAGGTTTGCAGATGCATTCCACTTCCTGATCCAGTTGCCAAAAGGGATACATATTTGGTGTGGTTCTTGGGACCTAATGGGTCCTTTACTGGAGACATTCTACAATTACTATAAAGATGAGCGTAAGGATTCTCCTCTAAAGGCTCTCTGGAGTAGAGCTTCGGAAGAGATGCGTCATTGTACTCAATGTATTTGTCAGTACCATCAAGCCCAAGATATGTATAGCACAGAGTATGAGTCAAGTTCGATAGGTCCTCTTCTTGATGTATTGCGCACTCTTGATGAGGAAAGAATAAGTCAGCACCTACGAGAGATTAATGCAAGAATAGCTCGCGGAGAATCTGATTTGGGGAGTGACAATGGTGACATTGTGTGTGTCATGTTTGAGGTATTTTCTGCTTTGCTTTAATGATTATATACTAATAACACTAAGTTAGTCTGCTCTTTTTATACGGCTTAACATTATTTACTCCCTCCGTCCCATAAAACTTTGCCAAAGTTGACTTTCACGTAGAATAATACAGAGTAAAATACAGAGTAAAATAAAACTGTGCAGAGGAGAGAGAGAAAAATACAGAGTAAAAAATACAGAGTAAAATAAAATACAGAGTAAAATACAGAGTAAAAAAAAACAGAGTAAAATAAAACTGTGCGGTTGAGATTTATGCAGAGGAGAGAGAAATATTTTTAGCCACATATTGTTACTTTAAATGGAAATGACAATGTTTTTTGGGGAGGCCAAACAAGGAAACCCGGCCAAGTTTTATGGGGAGGAGGTAGTATGCTTTACCTCATTATATTTACTACCTCCGTCTCATTTTATGTGTCTGATTTGGTTTTGGCACAATTTTTAATGAAGTGGTTGAAAAAATAAATGTTGTGGTTGAGATTTGAGTATAGTAAAGTGAAATGTTGTGAACCACATATTTCTTTCCAAAAAGGGAAAGGTGACACTTATTTTGGGACAACCCAAAAAGGAAAGTAAGACAATTAAAATGGGACGGAGGGAGTAATATATACTTCGTAGTAGTGTCTTCTCGTGTGAAGAAGATATTGCTTAGCATATACCTAAATACCACAGACTTATGGGGTTAAAACTTGAAGTAAGCGACAATGAGGGTAATGCAATCACAAAAAAAACTCTGTGGTAGTGTGGTCACAGAAGGAAAGAACTGTCGCTTTTTATACTTATGAGAGACTATAAAACCTAACATTTTTTTTTTCAAAATCAGGCAACTGAATTTAATTAAAATGGAACAACATAGGATGATAGAATATAATAGTGGTAAGAATGGATTTGTTCATCACTAAAACCGACAATTTTTTTTTGGGTACAACGGAAATAAACTAAAACCGACAATGCTAAACTATGTCCTAGTGTTTCTTGGTATCAATTTTATAAAAAGTACTCCATATGAGTTAATTTAACTCACACCATAAATCCACATGATTTTAAGTGGAGCCCTATTGTAACTGACAACCAGCTTTCCAAACTTCATCATGCTGTAAGAACAGTGAGATTGTGTGGTTAAAATTAAAATTTATGTAGAGGAAAGAAAAATCGAACTACATGATTCTTTCCTTAAGTAATTAAATCGCTACTCGGGGTCAACTCGGTCAAGGGCCGATTAACAATTGGGACCAATTACTCAGGATTACTCAGCCCTGTATTAATTAAACTTAAAAACATAAGTGCCCCAAAATTCTAATAATCTGTGAGTCTTAACATTCTTAAATACGAATAAAATAATTATAATCCTAAACATTCTAACTTACAAGAAAATCAATCACCTAATAATACTTAATTCTGAACTTTTGTCTTAAAGATGTAAAATAATCTTCATTGGGTTCAAGGTCATCATTTTCTTCTTCATCCTCCATGTCTCCAAACTTAAACTGACTTTGTAATCTTATTTTTCCAATTTTGAAATACCTACTAATTACTCATAAATTCCATAATATCCCAATTTAGTTAAAAAAATTCAGATTTAACCTCAAAAAATCAATTTTATTGGCTGCCGAGTAACTTGGCGAGTCAACCATGTCACCAAGTAGTGAAAGTCGCTAAGTACTCGGCGAGTTACTCGAAAAATGGAACAGTTCGACTCGGAGTACTAATGGGCAAGGTCCCACCCCGAGTAGTGAGTACTCGGCTAGGTACTCGTGGAGTACTGGACGATTAGATAACATAGTTGTTTCCTTAAAAGGAAAGAGAAACTTATTCTGGGACAGATGAAAAAGAAAAGCGGAACCATTTTCAGGGATGGAGTGAGTATTATTTAGCCAATCCATTTATGACTATATGTAAAAGGGATGACATGAAATGCTTTTGGAATACTGTTGTAAGACTATTTCGTATTATACACTGTTTACTTTTTTGGGGGGAAGGGGAGGGGGCTTATGTTGTTCTCCAGATTACTTATGCTGCCCGTATTCTTGATAACAGGTTTTGATGTTTCCCATCTTGTTAGATGATGATTCCTTAACAAATGAATTTCAAAAGTTTATTGAGGCAATTGATGACTCTCATGAATTGACCCTGGGTGGCCACCAACAATATCCGGTGTGCCTCACACTTGTTCCTGGATTTTGTTTAGTTTTTAAACCTTGCTTGCTTTAATCATCATTGTTTCTAAGTATTTTTTTTATTCTTTTTAGGGTGTTTATGCATTACTTTTTTGTAAAAGTCGGAGATCACGTTCTATTGGTTTCCGGTTGGCAGGACAAATGAATAGATTGAGGTACTGTTTTGTGTTGATTTATGTTGTGAAGATATGTTGCAGTCTCTTGTTTTGCTCATATTGCTGATGTGGTGCTACTTTTCCTTACTTATCACAAATGCACATATCTTTAGGCATTTCTCATCTAGGGTTTGATCAACAGACTGCTTGTTTATTGCTTACTATGTAGTGAATGCTATATTCACGTTTGAGTGTTATGGTTCAGCTTGGTATTTGGAATCTTATGATTTTTTTTAATATTTTGTTAAAATTACCTCTGTTTGCATCATTGTTTTGAAGTTGCAAGTGTTGACATTTACCTTTATCCAGCAACGTGCGTCACTATTGTTGCTATTATTATTCCTTTGAATGATGTGGATGTATTATTGATGATGGAGTTGCCTAACCACGGCCTTGTCAAATGCCATTACTGTCGTGGTGGATAAAGCTAAATGAAAATGCTTGATACATCAAAGATATTAGAGTTAAGGAGTAAATATATTAGGGTTAACCGGTTAAGTAGTGATAGCTCATTTTGCGCTATGCTCTGTATGTGATAAGTATAGTGGGATTTAAAACTTTGGGGCAAAATAGTAGTTCTTCCTCACCTTTCTCCATACAAAATGGGCAAAACAAACAAATGTAAGATAGTGAGGGAGATCTAGAAAGAAAACAGTCACTGTCAACATTGCATGATAACACAAGTCTAATAATTGAACATGCATGCATTATCGCCATCTTAATGGTATGTTAAGCACTTTAATTAGACACCCTTCTAGGCTTTAAATGAATAAAAGATGTTTAGGTTCAGACGTTCACTCGTTCAGTACTGATTGTTTATGTTGCCGATATAAATATTAAGTATTGTAGATTTGTTTTTCCTTGAGCTTTTTATACAACTTACATTGAATGTGATAAATTTAATGTACAACTTTTGTATTTCTACTCAATTGTTTATACTAGTCAAGATTAAGCTTAAGCTAGTACAGTGCTGGACCACCCCTCCAGCATTATGAATATTTTATGGGTGTTAAGTGCTTCTATTCCACAGACATTATATTATAATGAGCTGCTTTTTCTTTTCTAGTAATATTCCTAGTGGCACTTGCAATTCTTATATTGTGAAGCCGTTTTGAAATGGGAAATGGCTGACTCAATGTCTGTACCTAATTTCTTGTATCAGATTTAATGTTCTATTAGTACACACACATGCAGTGTATTAATATTTCCATGTCTCCTGGATTTACTTGAAATGTGGAATTGGCAAGATATCTTGAAAAGAGCCAACCTTTGTATTAATTGGTTTCCCACTATACTATTAACACTTGCTAAGTGTATATTTATAGGCAATCAGTTGAGTTGGATCCTTTACAGCCCTTGTTGAAGCGATATATTAATTTCTTGGAGTCTGAAGATGCCTCGACTGCTTCTCTGAATTCTAGGCCTAGGGTCCATCTGGAACGGCTAACTGTATGGCTTGGAATCAAAACACTGTAGGAAGCAGCTTGTATTTCATCGCTGCATTTAGTAGTTATCTGTATTTTCCTTCTTAGAATTAATGATCTTTCTTCTATGTGAAGGCTTGGGTTCTTAGAACCTCCTGCTTTTGAAGAAGGGATTTTAGATCGATATCCCATATTCCTCAGTCTTGTTCTCAACCATATTAGTGATGATTCTCCTGAATTTTCCTATGCAGTTAATTGTTTGAGATTGCTTTTTGAAATGCTTGGTATGTACTTATTTGTTATATTTTTCCTTTTCAAACTACTTAATGAGATGTTAATTGCTGATATGTTTTAAATCTGTTTTATGCAAAGGCTATAAGCTTTGGTTGAGGACTACACTCTCTCCAGGTGTAATGAGGAATACATTACTGGGTCAATCTTTCCACACTCGAAATGAGAAGAGCCACAAAGAAATTTTTGATCTTTTCCAGCCATTTCTTCAGGTAAATTACCATTATACTTTTAAGATGTGAAGGGATTTATGACTTTATTAGTAGCCCAGTTGTTTTTAGTTGTTTCTGCTGTCTGGGCAGTCTGGCACATGATATGTCATGTTTTATACTATTTTAAATTTCTGCTTCAGTCTCTTGAAGCTTTACAAGATGGAGAGCACGAAAAGCAACGGAGACATTTCCTTTACTTTCTCCTACATCAGGTGTCTGTGAGCAACAACTTTAGTATACTAATGAGGAAAAAGGCCTGTCAGGTTGATGTCTCATCCTGTATATAAAGTGTGCATTTTCCCATGCTTTCCTACTATTTGTTGCGAGTTTGTACATTTGGCAGATAGCTTTGCTCATTGTTCACCGAGGTTACAAGATGAATCCACCTAGCCCGCCTTATGAATGTGCACATATGTGGTGTGTACTCTGATCCTCAGGTTCTCTAAGAGTGTTTGTCATAAATTCTGTATTGTTGCTTCAGCATATCTTCATTTTTGATGGTCCAGGTGTCCTTGTTTAGTGCATAATTTTTAGGCATCATAATGGGATATGCAACAGTGTAGCATGACTTTCTTTATGTGATATGGATCATGTACATGCATTAACTTGTACTGCACACAGCTCATAGCTTTGAATCTCACTTTGCTTCAATGGAAGTTTGAAACAATTCCATAAGTACTTGCATAAAACACAGGAAACATGTATGTATGACTAAATGTTTCAACATACATCTCAGCATTAAAGTTGGTATTACCTATAAAGAGATAAGAAAGAAAAGATAATAACACTTCTGGTCTCAAACCATCAAATTAGCTTTATTATTTGATGCTTTGTACAAGTTTTTGATGGTTTGACACTTTGGCTGACCTGATGTGTATTCAGGACAATAATGTTTTAAGCTCCATGTTTATTTGCAGGGGACCATCACTTGTGTCCTTTTTAAAGGATATGTCACTGCACATTTCTCTTCGACAACCTGCCTTTGATCTTATACAAACCATTATAGTATCTGATGCTTCGGTCATGGCAGCTTCAGTTCTCAACTGTCAGCTGCAGACCAAAAATGGAAGAGACATGCATGCAAATTTTGATGATGATGATGATGAAGGGCAATTGTTAGAACATGATATTGAAGGAAAGGATGCCAGTTGCTGGAATGACTTCTGTTTGCAGGCCAAAATGACATCAAGTTTATATGGAAGCTGGATGTGCACCCCAATGTTATGGTTTGAGGTTTTAGTCGAGACTGATCCTCTAATTCTTCCAATATCATTTTCCAAGGCAGTCTTTTGGGCTCTGTCTCGCCTTGTTATGGTAGAACCTGAAAACAACTCAGATAGGTCACTATCACTTGGGGATTGGTTGAAAACCTGTGCTTCAGAAATCTCTAATGCTTTTAGTTGGAAAGAACCGTCCAGCTCCAATGATGGGGGAAACAGTATGGTATCAAAGAATTCTGTTAATGTCTCAACACTGTATAAGCCACTATTGAGGACTTTCAAGAGGTTTGCCACTTAATCCTGTTGTGGCATGCTGTTAATGTTTCATTTTTTCTGTCGATGATTGGACATGCTTACTATCTTTATTAACTTTATGGATCATTCTGTGAATTAAAGTTTGTGCTCAAGATTTATTGCTTATTGTGATTTTCAGATTCACTGCCCATTATATTGTTAGAATGGAGCAGGGAGAGCTAAGGAAGCAGTGGACCTGGGAACCCATGATGGGAAACAGCATAATACTCATGCTTGTGGAACCCAATGATGTAATATTGTCATCACTTGTGTTGAAGTGAAATGTTTCCTCTCTACATCCTCGAGGTTTAACTGATCATCATAATTACCTGATTGCTGCAGAATGCCAGACACGTAGCTAGATGTATTCTTGAACAGGTCTCAGATACACAAGGTCTAACTTGTGGACTCCAGTTTCTCTGCTCGAGCCCATCTTCACTGTCGGCCATTTTTATAGGTTTAAGACATGCTTTGAAGCTGGTAAGATACAGTGAAGGAATTACATTACTCTTTCTCTGTGTTCTTGTGAGTGCATTAAATATCCAGAAGGGAGGATGCGGATGGGAATTATTTATTTTCTTAAACAACAACATTATCCCAATGCCACAAAGGGGGTAAGGGGGGGCTGGATGTACGCAGCCTTACCTTTGTACTAAAGCACATAGAGATTGTTTCCAGACGACCCAGAGTGAAAATTGCGTCTAAATTGCATGGACTGAATGCTGCTTCATAATAAAGAAACACAGACAGTTTAGTGAGCCATTTTGCTTTATTCCATCATATTTCCAAGCCAAAAAATAGTGAGTCTTTGGCTCCATTGGAAATGATGGAAGTGAAATATGTTGCGATTTTTGTAAATAAGTAGGAATTAACAAAGAGTGCTCTGACATTGTACTCCGTAGTAAAGAAATCCAAGTATGAAGTGTTTGATCTAGCAATAGAAATTTCATCATGCTATGCCTTGAAGTGCGCTATTCATGTAAGAGTGCACTCATGTCTGAACAATCTTCTGAACAAATCATACACGCACTGGCGCGCGCACACACATACAGAAGAAAGTAATCTGAGTATGTTAACTGTAATCATGTGTTGTGATATTCTTTTACTAGCCGCCGAGAAGTTAATTGTATGTTTTTCAGGTGCAACTGGAGAGTGTCCTGTCTGACTTTCAGTCTTTGCATCATTTCTTTTTTGTTCTTTCCAAACTATTAAAAGAAGGGAATTCAGCCAAATTCGTATCAGAGACGTGTAATGTATCAAACTTCTCTTCCCAAGGGGGATTTTTGAAGCAGCCAGTTTATTCTAAACAACCTGGTAATGCGATCGAAGATACATCAGTTGTTAGCGATGCTTTGTGGGAGAAGTTCTGTTATCTACTATCAGAAATTGCATGGCCTGCAATAGGGAAATGCTTAGAAGAAGGAAAGGCAAAATTGGATCACAAAGTATCTCATGTATGTAAATTGTATTATCATTGTGAAGTATTGAATCACTTCACTTTCCTTTTTTTGCAGCATGCGTGTTTTGTTTTGTTCTTTTGCTGATGAACTTTTCTCTTTGAATAATGAATAACTCAGAGTATGCTTTATGCTTCTTATTTTGAAGAACATACAATTGTGGTTGCATTGTACCACAAACAATAAATCAAATGCAAAATGAAAACAGTATTTATCTTGTTTTCATGTTGTTGGTGCTGAAAATTCATTTAAAAAAAATTGAATTGCCCAATGATGTGATTATTGGACATTGGTAAGTTATCCATACTCTGTTAACTACACAATGCATTGTAATAGAAGTCCTGGATAATGTTTATCCAGGGAAAAAAAATTAGTGACAGCTTAGGAAAACCCTTTCTGTGAGAATGCCACTAATTATGTGATTTTATTGCTTTGATTTTTTCCCCTCTATGAATCAGATGACCTGCATCAGATTGTTAGAGATTCTTCCACTTATTCTTGAAAAGTTTCATGGAAATTTGGCCGTTGTTTTCAGCAATTCTAGCAGTTTAAAATGGATCTATGATTTGATCGACTGGGGTAAGTCCCCCCTTCCAGTGGTGGCCAGATATTGGAAACAAACTTTTATTTCTTTGCTGGGACTGTTAAAAGAGTTCTGCAATGGGATCTCTGTTTCGGCAGTTGTGGATATTGAGAAACTTATTTCATGTGGTGAGTTCCTTTATTTTTTCATTCCTTACTTTCATTCTTGTCGTTCCTGTTTGTGATTTACCTCGTTAATGTAGTTAAGTGTTAACTGAATATTAATGTATTATGTTGGGGGAACAGATAGCATTCCAATTGAAGAACTTACTAATCAAGTTGCACGCCTTTCTGTATCATTAATGAATAACAATTCCACTCGCATTAAGAAAACAAGTATGGGCTTTGACCAATCTTCAAAATTGAAACCAACTGTTAGTTGCTCAGCAGCTAGTGCACACGCTTCTATGGATGCGGAGAAATTGCATTTTTCTGATTCAAATGTATGTATTGGGAAGGAGGGAGGTGAGTTGGTAGATCTTTGTGCTGATGAGAATGAGAGAGGAACTTCTATGAGCCCTAAATATCCTTCCAAAAATTTGTCAGTAAATAGTGATTGCTTGGCTGGAGATGCACAAGTGTCTTATGTGGATGTTAAGAAATTGCATCATTCAGACTCAGATGTAATGGTTGGCAAGGAAGGAGGTAATGTGATAGTTCTTTCAGATGATGAGAATCAGTCAGAAACTTCTGTAAGAAAGGTTGTTTCTCATTTTGGGTCAATTCAAACTTCACTTGCTGACAAAGCTGGAAAAGTGTTGCATTCTGATAGTGTAAGCACCACCAATTCTACAACCGGTAATGTTATAAATCCTGTAGCAGTTTCTGATAATGTGCTTGATTCAAACATGATGGAAGGTGGGACAACTGCTCTCATCCAGTCAAAGGTTATTCACGAAAAGAGAAATGCTGTTGATTCAAATATCAATTTAAAAGAAAATGTTACATTGATGACCCATCACAGTTTCCGGAAAGATTCGTCTTATGAGAGTACAGTTCTCAAAACCAAGGATCAGAGAGGAAATAACAAGGCCATAGAACAAGGTGTTAAAGTTCTACAAGAGCTTGTACATGATAGTGGAAATGATTTTGAGTTTGCTTATCCCAAATCTACTAGGGGCCGACAGACATTAACAATAAACCCATGTATTTCTGGTCCTAAACGGCAAGTCATTCAGCTCAATTTTCCTGTGAAAAACAAAGACAGTTTACCGAAAGCAGATAGTGGAGTGAAAAGGTTTACATCTGCAAGGCTTGATGACTGGTTTAAACTTATTTTGGAGTTGGATTTTTTTGAAACAGTAGGGTTATCAGTGACAAGTAACAAGGACAACCAAAGTTTAAGCAAATTAAAGCAGGTACCTGTTTGCTTTGGATCAGCTCAAGAATACATTGAAATATTTCGGCCATTATTGGTTGAGGAATTTAAAGCACAATTGCTTAGTTCATTTCAAGAGGCAAGTTCACTTGAAGAGATGTTTTGTGGCAGTTTGTCTATAATGTCTGTCGAGAGAATTGATGATTTTCATATGATCCGCTGTGTTCATGAGGATTTTGGTAATAATGGATCTAGAAGCTGCTCAGAGAATGACCTTATTTTGCTTACAAGGCAACCGCTGCAAGATTCTCCTCCTGATGCTCATATGGTTGGCAAGGTTGTCTATTGACTATTTTTATTCTCATATGAATTGTTTTTAGCTATTCTGTAGCTTTAAGTTTTGTGAACTAGGCCAGAGCAATACTGCAATAGTTATCGTTATTAAGTGCATGTTACTCATTTCAGAATAATATGGGTTGTTTTAGAAATTTGAAATTATTACTCCCTCCGTCCCCTTTTAAATGTCCCGGAAGAGGGTGGCACGAGTTCTAAGAAAAGTGGGTTTGTGTGGTTGATATTAATTGATAAAGTAAGAATAAAGTAAGAATGATTTTGAGCCACACAAACTTTACCAAATAAGGTATGGAACAATTAAATAGGGACATCCCAATATGGTAAAACGGGACAGTTAAAAGGGGACGGAGGGATTAGATTTAAAATCATTTATGCCATTATTCATTTAGGAGTCACGTGGCTTCTTGTAAGCTGGTCTGCATCTAGGAGACATGCACTATGTGTTAGTTGAATCTGGTGTGTTTGTTGTCTTAATTTTGTTCTTTTCCTTGCACGTTACAGTTTGTTCATCTTTCAGATATTGATTATTTAGATAGTCTCCATTGTTGCTTTGTCACTTCCATGCATTGCATCAAATACAGGGGCGGAGCCAGGATTTAGTTGTGGGGTGGGGGGGGGGGGGGGGGGCAAAGAAGGAACACAACCAATAAATAGAAAATTCACTAAATAGGATTAAAACAAAAAATAAAGTTCATAAATAGTATTATCGTTGTTTTATTCTCAAAATATGACTTATTCACTGCTATTTTGGCAAACTTTAATCAAATTATTTTTGATAGGACTAAGTAAGATCTATTTGAGGAATAAAACATATTTTTTCATATTTTTAATCATATGTATGAAATTATTTCATGAGGAATGATCCTGTCAAAACTACCCGACAAGATCCGCCGTCCGTGCGCCTATGTTGAGGTGCTTCCTGATTGATTTTTTGATGAAATTTTTTAGAATGTTTTTCATGATGTGTAGATTATTTACACCAAATTTTTGTTTAAAATTCAATCGGGAAGTTAATTAAATAAAATTTTGAAAAACACTATGCCAAAAAATATATAAAAAACTCAGTGTTTTTCGATAATTTATTTAGTTGACTTACTGATTGAGTTTTAAGCTGAAATTTGGTGTACATAATCTACACTTTATAAAAAACATGGTCACAAAATTTCATCAAAAATTCTACCCGAAAGCATCTCAAATAGAGGCTTCTATCAGGTAGTTCTGACCCAATTTTTTCTGATTATTTCATATCTAATACTAGTACTAGTAAAAGATAAAAAAAGTTGGGGGGCCAAGGCCCCCTACCCCTATACCTACCTCCGTCCCTGTCAATAACACTGGTGTATAAAAGACTTATTATATAAAAATTCTTAAACTCCCTATTATAATTTTATTTTATCCGATTTGCAAACTGTTAATTATATTTATTATTTATTTGTACTTTAGGCTGTTGAACGACATATTTGATTTGTGAGTGAACTAATCTAGTTATATCCTCATGTACCATTTTATATATATATAAAACAATACATGATATTGGCCATCGTGTTTGCTGCACTGTGCTATCTATTATAAGGTGGAGAGGTCTGAAAGGGACAATAAAAAAGGATCAAGTATAGTTGTTGTCAGGTTGTATCTTCAAAACAAAGCTTCTCATATCAACAAGGCAAGAAAGCTTCTATTCGAACGCAGCAAATGGTGCATCAGTCGCTTGATGAGTATTACACCTCAACTAAGAGAATTTCAAGCATTGTCATCAATAAAAGAGATCCCTCTGCAAGCTGTTATCTTGAACCCTACCAATCGTGGGCATAGTCAAAAGTGCAGTAATAATCTAAGTAAACTGACACAAAAATTAAGTCAAGTCCTTAAAACGGAATACAATGAGAGTCAACTGGAAGCCATCAATTCTGCCATTGGGCCTTTTGACCCAAAAAAGGATTTTGAGCTGTCTCTTATACAGGGCCCTCCTGGTATGATGTCTGTATCCGGCTACACTTTTTGGTTCTCAGATTTTTTTTGGCTTATTTCAGCATT